ATTAATTCAGAATGGCCTCTTGGCAGGAAAGAAAAAACGTCTAAAAAAATCGCATAAATCTCTCTTAAGATGAAAATATTGATTTTGTAAAATTTTCTCATATTTTTTCAATTTTGTCATATTTTTGGCATATTTTCATTTTGAATTAAACATTTGGTAATATTTCTACAGCTAACAAAACTAAGTAGTTAGGATATCAAGATATCATATACACATTGCATTTATGGCCCGATCCTTACGGAATTTTGCATGGGGACAAGATGAGGGTCAGAATAGAAGCCTACTCTTTTTGGAGATGATCGCCATATATTTAGGGGTTGAAATGGACCAAAAAACTGCAAAATTGTCAGCAGGTCGTAATTATCGCCCGACCCTCACGCACATTTAAATGGGGGTTACCGGACATTGCAAAAGCCAAGCAGTTTTGGATGGCCATCCAAAAATATTCAATGTGTGAAGGAGTTTGCCAACTTTTATAGACAAAATACGAAAATGTCCATTCCAGCGACATCTACCAATAAATTGGAAATGAGCAAATTCGTTTATGTTGCTATTATCCGAAAATTAGAGAACGAAACATGATGGTTTTCTTTTATTATTTGTCACAATATCTTGTGGAATTCTTTCGAGTATTTCGCCTATATAAACTGTATGGTTTATTATAGTGTTGTAGGGTATTCGACGGTCGGCCCCGCCCGACTGTAGCCTTTGCTTACTTGTTTTTTTATATTTTAGGTACAATTTTATATTGAAACCAAAACGCATTTAATGAACTTTGATTTGGGTTAGCATAATGGAGCAAATGTATCTGTAATAAGTTATTGGAATCGTTGGTATTTTAAAAAGGGTCCTTATTTAAGCTCGGCATTTCTAAAGGTTATTAATATTTATATCCCATGTGTTAGGGGTATTATAAGTTTGATTGGGACAAAATGTTTGTAACACCACGAAATATTGGTCCTGGACCCATTATGTTTCTATATATCTTACTATCTCGGTTGAAAACAACCTATGTTTTAATTAAAAATTATTCCATTATTAAGATCCCTAACTTTCGAAAATTTGAAGACAAACCTTGATTGCGTGGATGATTTTTTAAGAAGTTCAATTTCTTATTTTTTTACTTGTTTTCAATCAAATGCGGTATATTTTCATTTTCGGTTGAGAATTCGTCATGACTTTTTTTATAATTTAAAATCATTGTCATATTTTTCAGGAGATTTTCCAATAACTTTGCAACACAAATAATACAACAACGTCCGTGATAGCATACAGATGTCGATATTTAAAAATAGGATTCAAATTTTATACAATTTACTCACTTCTACAGATAATCGACATAGAAGTAAAAATCTGTATCAATATTATTAATTCACTACCACTTCAGCAATATTTATCTTAACGAATTTCAATATCTGTTAAGAACACCGAAAGCTCACAACCACAGATATCAAAATTGGTGTCAACCTTTCCGTCATCAATCGCTCTTTTTTATACCCTCCACCTAGGAAAGGAGGGTATATTAACTTTATCATAGCGTTTGTAATATCTCTAAATACTCATCGTAGACCCCATAAAGTATATATATTCATAATCAGCATAAAATTCTAAGTCGATTTAACGAAGTCCGTCTGTCTGTCCGTTGAAATCACGATACTGTCCACATTATTTGACGTAGACCTTTAACATTTAGCAAAACAATTGTGTCTAGGATGGTTGATATTAAAAATGAGATATATCGGTCCACGTTTTGGTATAGCTGCCATATTCGAAATTTTTTTTAAGGTAGGCCATAACGGGTTTCAGCTCCGGTGGCGAAACATTGTGTGTATATGTCCATGTTTCTGAATGGCCGCCATATAACGGTACCTTTCGATATTTGGTATTCTTATGATTTTTGCCACATTTTTTTAAGGATTGTCTAAAAATTGGTATTTGTAGTTCGTAATGGGTTCCAACTCCGGTGGCGAAACATTGTGTGTACCTCTGGATATTTAGTATTATGATGATTTTTGCCACATTTTTCCACTCTGTTGTCTAAAAACCAGTAAAGAAAGTCTTAAAGTCGGGCGGGGCTGACTTTATGATACCCTACACCACTTTCCTAATTTCGCAGATCTCCACATAACAATTAAAAGTTTTTTTATGGGAGAATTCAATTATACACGCTATGATTATAATTATAATTTAAAGTTCAAAAGACTAAATATGCCGAAGCATTTTAAATTCGAACTTGTATTGCCCATTTGATATATATGGGAGCTATATCCAAACCTGAACCGATCTTGATAAAATTTGGCAAAAATATTTCTGAGCTGTATTTCATATATTTCCCTGAATATCGCTGTTACGGAGTGCATTTTACGGCTGCGGGTAACAAATATAACAAATCGGATGAACAGTATATATGGAAGCTATTGCTATATCTGAACCGATCTTCACCAAATTTGGCATACTAGCTTCTAGACTCAATTCGGTCGTAAGTGCCAAATTTCATCCCATTTGGGCAAATATTAGACGTTTGGTGCACAATAAAAAGTAAATCGGACGAAGTTATATGTGGGAAATATATCCAAATCCAAACCGATCTTGATAAAATTTAGCAAATGTATTTCTGAGCTGTATTTGATATATTTCCCCAAAAAATAACAAATCGGATGAACAATATATATGGGAGCTATAGCTATATCTGAACTGATTTCGATCAAATTTGGCATACTTAATTTCAGGCCTAATTTGGTTGTATGTGCAAAATGCCATACTATTCGGGCTGATATTACACGTTTGATGCACAATAAGAGGCAAATCGAACGAAGATATATATGTGAGCTCTATCTACATTTTTACCGATTATCTCCAATTTCAATAGGGTTCGTCCTTGGGCCAAACAAATGGTTTGTGCAAAATTTCATCTGGATCGGGCAATAAATGCGAACTGTACTTTGTTCACAAAAATACATTGACAGACGGACGGACAGACGGACGGACATGCACAAATCGACTCAGAATGTGATTCTATGCAGATCATCAAAAGGAACTATGGGTCTATCTCGTTTCCTTTTGTCTGTTACAAACAAATGCACAAATACATAATACCCTGACCACCTTGTGGTGTAGGGTATAATTTTTGTGTACCCTCCACCATAGTATGGTGGTGTAACACCTCGAAATATACATTTTAGACCCCACAAAGTATATATATTCTATGTCGACTTAGCAATGTCCGTCCGTCTGTCCGTCTGAGGAAGTCACTCTAGCTTACGAGCGAAATGAAGTAGGTTGATAAAATTTTACTCAAATGTGTGCTATGTCTGCAGGTCTTTTAGTATTGAAAATGGGCCATGTAGGTCCACGTCTTCGCATAGCCCCCATATAATGGTACCTCCCGATATGCGGTATTTTGATGATTTTGATTTCAGCGACATTATTTACCCGAATTGTTTTAAATTTGGTATTTGAATTTCGCAATAAATACTACAGGCTATGACAGAAAATTGTCTGTGCAGGTCCACGTCATCGTATAGCCCCCATATAACGGTACCTACCGATATTCGGCATTTTTATGATTTTTGCGACATTATTTATTGGAACTATTTCAAATTTGGCATTTGTAGTTCGTAATGAATACTACAGTCTAAGACAGAAAATTGTCTGTGCAGGTCCACGTCTTCATATAGCCCCCATATAACGGTATCACCCGATATTCGGGATTTTGATAATTTTAGCGACATTATTTACCGGAATTGTTTCAAATTTGGTATTTGAATTTCGTAATGAACACTACAGCCTATGCCTGAAAATTGTCTGTGCAGATCCACGTTTTATAACCCCCATGGTCCCTCCCTATATTCGGTATTTTGATGATTTTAGCTACATTATAAACAGATTTTTTTTGCATTTGAATATTGTAATAGCTTGTGACAAAAGTTGCCTATGCAGGTCCACGTCGTCGTATTGGCCCTAATATACGGCTACATTTGGTATTTTTAAGATTTTAACAGAATTTTTAACGGATTTTATTTTTTTTGAAAATTACCAACGTTCGGCCCGGCCGGTCTTACAGCTTTTTTACTTGTTTATTATTACAATCATTTTCATGCCAACAAAATTTGTGTGTGCTGTTAAAACGGCACTGGTTTGTTCATGTTTTTTTCTTTCAACTCCAAATTGCCACATATTTAAATCGATTTTCTTATAACTTCAATTTTCTTTTGCCGCACATCACAAATAATGCAAATGATATTGTACAGCTGCTGCAATTTAAAATGGAATTCCAATTTAATACATGTAATGCCCTTCTATAGGGTATCAACATAGATATCCAATAAAGTCTTCCAATCTCACCAATTCATTGGCACTTCCGTGATATTTTTGTCAACGATTTTGAAAATCTTGTTTTTCAAGGCAAGTTGTTTTCTTGGTATCTTTGTGTTTTTAATAAAATCAAATCGTTATCATGTTTATTCTCAAACAACAAACAACTAAATTCATGTCAAACCTTTCCGGCATAATTCACTTTTTTTAGGCAAAGTTACGTTTTGCATAAATCACAAAGTACGAAAATATAATTGTTTTTCATTTCCTGCAAAACAGATTTGTTCTTCCTTTGAAATTGGCAAAAAAAATCACATTAATTATTTTTCAACACTTAAGCTTCCTTTCACAAGAATTTCGCGGAATGTGTGTGAGTTTGTTTATTTTGTCGTGGAAAGGAAGGATATGATATAATAAAGGCAAGCATATATGGCTGCCTTATGTTTAAAATTAATTATTCATTTCAAAAATTGTTTTATATATTAAAGGTTTTCGATAGTTGTTTTACAAGCACTTGCTAGTTTTTTTTTTTTTTTTTCAAAACTAAAAAAATGCCATCTAAGCTTTTCATCTCAATTAAGCTATTTAACAAAATTTTTCACAGTCCTTTCTTAAACTATTATTTTTTCAAAACTTATTTTAATTTTGGGTTTAATGTCTTACGCAAATTTTCTTTTCGCAATTACCTTTATAATTTTCCACTTTTTATCCATTAAAGTTTCGCCTTAATTATTTTTATAACATTTGTTTTTTATTCAAGTTCTTAATTTAATAGCCTTATATTAAATAATATTTTAAATTATTTGTAACATTTAAATTATTTTATTAAATTTTGAAGATACATTTTATACATTATGGGCACATTTAATTTTCATGACAATATTTTATTTTTATTTTTTTGTTTTAAATTTTTTTTTTTTTTTTTTTTTTTAATATTTATTGAAATTTCATCAAAACAATATGTGTAGTTCTCCACATTCATTCATTCATTGAGGGTAGTTTTGTCACAAAAGTTCGTTCGTTTGTTTGTCGCTTAAACTTTGAAAAATACCGTACTAGTTTTTTTTCTGCGTATAAACACAACCGTACATTGGTAGAAACTCGCAACAACTGAATCCAAACAATCGCCTTTCGTTGGTTTTATCATTTCGCAGTAGCAGCAGCCACGAACCGAATAGACAAAAGTGAAAATGTGTTCAGTAGCACATTTGTGTGTGCGTGCGTACATCTGTGTGTGGGAAGTATTTTTCCGAAGTGTTGGCGGAAAATCGAAGAATGTCAGTGTGCCACCCAGCCATTACAGCCCCCCCAACCCAACTCAGCAGCTGTAGCAACAATTCGTTGGCCACCATAACAAAAACACAAAACATATGTTTCGTGAAAAAACGAAAACTATTACCATTCCCAACATCGGGTATGCAACAATCAAAACATTAACTTCCCCTCTACACAAAACGTTTGAATTTATCTGAGAAATTTCTCCACCCTAGCAGAGCACAATGCGCATGACTGTTCTCAGCAAAAGGCGCCAATTTGGATAGGAATTTGAATTTTTGCATTGAATGGGAAAAAAATTTCATCGATTCGTTTTTCTAAAAAAGTTATTGACGAAAAAAATGCTCATTAAAAAAACGGGAAACAGGTTAAAAAGGCCTTTTATGCTATTATCGATCTAAATCAACAATTTTAATATTTTGAGAGAGAGGCGCCGGATTGAGTGGACCGACATACTCCATATTTACATTGATAGAAATGACACCAGGTTTGAAGAAAATCACTGAAATATACTCAAAGATAATCACTGACTCGATGGACCCATGACTCTTTGGGCCCATTCCAATCGACGAGGCTTGTCCGCAGGCAACATTCTTTGCGTAAATTGAATTTTATACGGGAACAAATGCAAATCAATGCGAATAATCCGTTGAAAAGTGGACCGAGCCATGCCCAACTGCTGAGAACGGCGTTTTTGGGATGTTCTTGGGGACCTCTCAAAACTGACTCGTACGGCAGCGATATTCTCGGCCGATCGCCTTGGTCGACTTTTATATGGCCTCTTCGGATTAGAAAGAGCCTTACCAGTCGAAAATTTTTCGTATAAACGCTTAATGGTGTTCTTAGAAGGCGCACTTCTCACATTTTTTAATGTTTTAAAAGCACGTTGAGTTTTCACAATTGACTTCTTGTAAATTTCAACTATTTCAGAGCGCTCGCGTGGCGTGTATTGGTTCATGGTAAAAATCTGCTTGGACTGACGCTTCAAACGCGGTATGTCATTAAGCGATGTGACATCTCTGTCAAAAGTTTCGGCGTTGCCAGATGGGTCCGTCGAATATGGGCAACCCTGTAGGGTTAAATGTACTCAAAGTTTTGAAACTTGAGGTACTTGAAGGCGTGGTCCACTACATTTCATCTTCCCGCCAGATATTGTGTTTGTAGATATATTTGGACGTGTTAAGTTTCAAGAGAATTAAAAAATAAGCCTATTTCGTATTTTATGAGCGCCATAATGAAGGAATGTACCGATTTTGTGCATTTTTCAAATCGAACTATCACTGAAATAAGTATTAGGATTTGCAATCTTTAAACACAATCGGATAATGCTTCCCTGTTCTCTGAGGCATTTTTATACCCTACAACACTATGTGTTGGGGGTATTATAAGTTTGATTGGGCCAGAATTTATGTAACACCTCGAAATATTGGTTTCCCATATAGGAAAGTATATATGGATCTTCCTAGCTCGCCGAGCTGAGTCGATCTAGCTATGTATGTCCGTCCGTCCGTCTGTCCGTCTGTCCGTCTGTCCATGTTAATTTGTAATCACTCTACAGGTCGCAATTATGGCCCGATCTTCACGAAATTTAAAATATTGGTGAGGTTAATGTCAGAATAGAACCCTATTTCTTTTGGAGATGATCGCCAAATGTTTAGGGGTTGAAATGGACCAAATACTGAAAAAATTTCGGATTTTGCAGTAGCTATACAGGTCGCAATTATAGACCAATCGACGCGGAATTTCGCATGTAGCTAGAGTTTAGGGCGGGGAACAAGCCTACCAATTTGGGTGGTCATCGGATAATATTTAGCGTGTAAAATAGACCATATATTTTTTGTTGAAAAAATTCAAAATTTTTCATTAAACCGCGAATATTTTAAATCCCGGCGAAATCACAAAGCCATGACAAGGTTACTTCTGATCTTTACATTGATGTTAAGATCCAACAAATCGAATAAATAGCAAAATATGTGCTATATATATGTCTATCAAAGAAGATATGCTTGAAAGATCTCATATATGTCGAGAACGGCTGAACTGATTTCGACAGTTCTCATTAATTCAGAATGGCCTCTTGGCAGGAAAGAAAAAACGTCTAAAAAATCGCATAAAAATATCTCTCTAAAGATGAAAATATTGATTTTGTAAATTTTCTCATATTTTTTCAATTTTGTCATATTTTTGGCATATTTCCATTTTGAACTAAACATTTGGTAATATTTCTACAGCTAACAAAACTAAGTAGATAGGATATCAGGATATCATATACAGATCGCATTTATGGCCCGATCCTTACGAAATTTAGCATGGGGATAAGATGAGGGTCAGAATAGAAGCCTACTCTTTTTGGAGATGATCGCCCTATATTTAGGGGTTGGAATGGACCAAAAAACTGCAAAATTGTCAGCAGGTCGTAATTATCGCCCGATCCTCACGCACATTTGAATGGGGATTACCGGACCGTCCAAAAATATTCAATGTGTGAAGGAGTTTGCCAACTTTTGTAGACAAAATACGAAAATGTCCATTACAGTGACTTTTTGGAGAATTCGCAAATACAGGAAAGACGCACTTCTGACTATTTCATTAACGCTGATTTCGTTGAAGAATATAGTCAAATGTCTGTATCTCATATAATATAAAAAATATATGTCAATAATAAATGTTAATCTTTTGCCACTTCTGAGAGATTATAGGTCTTTGGGAAATATTGGTTCCAGATCTAGGAAGACCATTTACGTGCAACATCTACCAATAAATTGGAAATGAGCAAATTAGTTTAAGTTGCTATTATTCGAAAATTAGAGAACGAAACCTGATGGTTTTCTTTTATTATTTGTCACAATATCTTGTGGAATTCTTTCGAGTATCTCGCCTATATAAACTGTATCGTTTATTGTAGTGTTGTAGGGTATTTAACGGTCGGCCCCGTTCGACTGTAGCCTTTGCTTACTTGTTTTGTGATATATTGAATTTTTTTGGGTACTAAAGGAGTAGAACGACATTGTTTCGATCTAAATTTAAAAATAATATTATGATGCACCAAGTATTGTTGAAATATAATACTTCCTTCGAATTGTTGTGCGCACAAGCCAGACAGACAGACGGACGAAGTGATGGACATCGTTACATTGGCTTCAAATATTTTGAAATATATTTGGTTCAAAGAGACCTAGAGTCTGAAATCGTTATTTCTTGTTAGAAATGTCTTAGAGTTTATATGTATCAGAATCATAACTTTTTGCTTTTTTTACCGTCGCTCTACAGACCAAAAGCTAATGTATGGGCAAATCAATTTCCATGAGGTTGAAGTTAAGGGCAGAGCAGAGCTGTAGATGATTATCAGCTGGTAATTAGCTATTAAATGGCACTTCTTGGCAAAAACACGAATACATTGCTTACATTGATGCTGATTTTCATGACTTGTGACAGATGGTATTTCACAATACAGACAGGAATCTTTGGAATTCCCATTAGCGCGGAAGAATATATAATTACTGGCAAGAAAAGTCCACCTTTTAGATTTGAAGGGTATATTAACTTCGTCATTCCATTTGTAAATCCTCGAAATACTTATTTCAGATCAAACAATGTATACAGGGTGAAATAAAAAAAACTGCAACAAAGTCAAACGCCAGAATTTTTTCATTCCATCTAGAATATTTTCGCGATAATATTCGGCATTTATGCTGCTTCCACGGTCGAATAATACCAGCAGTGAGCGACCATCGGCTGTTATGGCGGCCCACACCATCACCATGGCCGGCGCTTGAGTTCTGGTGGCCAACCGAAGGGGCACATTTTCAGCTGAACTCTTTGGCAAGTAAACACGATCATTTTGTTTGTTTACAAACTGCTGGACAACGAATGTTTTCTCATCGGAGAAAACCAAACTCGGCAGTATACCACTTTCAGCCAAGCGACGCAACTCTTTACCTCTTTGGAGTCTATTTTCTTTCTGTAGCGGTGTAAGTTCTTGCACTTTTTGGAATTTCAATGGCCTTGCCCCGAGCTCATTTTTCAATATTTGCCGAATGGAATATTGCGATATGTTTAGCTCACGAGCAATTTTTTGGGCCACTGCGACGAGGGTTTCGATCAAGTCGCTTCTTTACTTTTCGAACCATTTCTGCTGATGTTGCTATTTTCATACGCCCACTTCCTTGACGTCGGGCTACGTTACCAGTATCATGGTAAAGAGCGTTTCTATGAGACACAAAAGATTTATTCACATTTAAATGCTGGAGTGTTCTAACGATAGCCACTTTTGGTTTTCCAGCCAAATATAAAGAAATCACACTATCACGCTTGAATTCCATCACGAATAACTTTTTTTCTGGAATATTCTCACTAAAATGCTTGGGCATGCTTGTAAACAATATAATGTGCTGTTACTGGAATAATTTTAACAGCTGTCGGACGAGTGGCTAGGAAATGACAGCAGTCTGAAGTTGGTTGCAGTTTTTTCATCTCACCCTGTATTTTGCAACTAGGTACGTTAAGTTCGTAAATTGATCATGTCGGTCCACGCTTTCGTTTAGCCCCCACATACCACGGTACACCTCCGATATCCATTTTATATTAGTTAA